CCTCCCCCGCACCTGGCACCCGCTTCTGCACTTTGCGAGCTCTCCCCTGCGCCGAGCGCGGCCCTCGTCTCCCTCGGGATACGCGATGGTCCTTTGGCGCACCCGCGCGCGGAGCGCGCTAATGCGCTCGTCCGGTACACGGGACGACGCGATAGATAAGCGCAAAACCCAGAGAGATACAGCGTGTTGTCGGCGGCTAGTTTACCGCGCGGTTACCGAGAGCGGCCTCTTCCGCGCGGTTTAACTGTTCGTCAGGCCTCGAAGCAGCTAGATCAGATCGCCGCCGCCGCGTGTTGGGGAGGCAGGTATGCGGATCTTCGGCGCGAAGAAATGATGCGCGAAATGCGTATACGCGCGCGTACACTATTGTGCGTGCGTGTGTGCGTGAAGGCACGCACGTATAAGTGTGGACTCGGAGGAATCTGTGCGTTTGGACTTGCTTTCTTTTTCTCTCTCTCTCCCCCCTCTCTCTCTTTCTTTCTCTCTCTCACATAGGCGGTAATGAACTTATCTCGTTTATCGCGTGAAACTGATTGCCCAGCGCGACGAAAAATCTCGATATCGGTATAAATACACGAGACATGATCACGTCCGATCAATATTCCCCGGACGAGCGACTTTCAGACCGCGCGATTCATATTTATGCGCTTTCGTATCCACGGAGAGAGACACGCCGATTTCCTCCGCGCGACATCGCTAATGTATGCGACGCGACTCGTTCGGCCGCTCGCCAAACTCCCGCGACGATAATTAGCGGCGTCGCGAGGAGCCTCGCGCTCGCGTGTTGCGCGACAGACAGAAAGAGAGAGAGAGAGGAGAGAACTCGGCTCGGCCCGCGACCTTCGCCGTAAATAAGGCGAATGAAGCCCGCTTGAAAGCTCGTTATCGCGTTTTCCGCGGGCGCGCGAGACGACCCGAGGACGTTCCCGTCGATATTCCGGCGCGGACGAATCCGCGCAACGTCGGAATTTTCTCAGCCGGCGCGAGAGACCTCGAGTCCGGCTTTTTAAGGCGACCGAGAAGATGCGGCGGAGAGAAGAAGAGGGAGCCTCGCCAGCCGCAGCAGGGTATTCCGCGTCGGGGCCTTACATACAGGATGGAACGCGTTGCCGACGACCCCGAGAGAGAGAGAGAGAGCCCGAGCCGAGCGAGTCATTTCGCTGAATTTACTATAATGCTCGGTACCGGCCGGATTCAAGGCAATTATTCGAGGTATTTTCGTAGCAGGGCTTTCCTATTAGCCGCGGCGAGCGTATCCGCCGAGCGGTCCGGCCACGATTATGTTCGTCCTCGCGCGCACGGCTCGCGTGTCGTGTGTGTGCGGTGATGTGTGTAGCGCGGCATCTCCTGATGCCGTACTATCCACACCACCGAGGACGTCCTGGCGCCGAGTGCGAATGAGAGAGAGAGAGAGAGAGAGAGGAGGGCGAAATCGCGAGCATCAGAAGGGAGCGAGAGATACCCGAAGAGGAACGGGAAGATAGCAGATTGTAATTTCAAGCGTGCGCGCGCGCGCGCGCGCGCCCTATACACGCCGCTAAATTGACAGCCCCTTCTGCACCGCCGGGGACTTTATGCGCGCGCGCGCGCGCGCACGCACCACCGAAACAATAAGGACGCGTCCGTACCTAAAAGGAGCCTCCTCCGTTTTTGGTCCTCCCGCGTCCTTGTTACGCCCCGGCATCGGCATAAGTTTCGGCCGCTTGTTGCTCGCTTTGCCGACTCGCGCGGCATTATACGCCGCGAACACGCGTTTACATCGCTTCATTCGAGCCCGTAAATCGGGGGAAACCGCCGACGACCCCGGCGATGCGGACGCCGTTGAACCGACTCGGCAACTCTGCGCCACGACTGGGTAACAAAAGCTCGGCGAATCTGCTCGTTGACTCGACACTGACGTGGAACGGCGGAGATACGCGAGGCGATTACAATCACGTTACGATAGAGCGAAACTGTTCGGGAAGCGAGCGTTTGCTTTCTCTTACCTTGCTGGGCGATCGCCGGTCCTGCCACGTTCAACACGGGTCCTCCGACCCGCAGATGTTCGGAGATCCTGACGATGGGATTGGGCAGCAGTAGCCGAGGAGGTCCTCTCGCCTGGTTCGACGACGGAGTCAGGGTTAACTTCAACACGGCTTTGCGGGGTGGCGAGCCGTGATCGTTCGCGGTGATCTCGAGATCCGTGGGCCGCACGATGGGCTTCTCGAGGCTCACGATGCCCGATTCGAAGCCCACGGAGAACCGGGCCTCCTCGTTGCCCGCGGTGATCACGTAGGACACTCGACCGTTGTCACCAGAGTCCTTGTCCACCGCGACGACTCTCACCAGGCTGGTACCTGGCGCGGCACGCAACGGTGAAAGAATAAGGATCACGACTGTTCGATTACGTGGGGATTCGTTGCACCAACATGCAGGTCATTACGACGGGTTGTCTACTTCGTGCACGCGCACTGAGAGACTTTGTAGTTATTTTCAGCCTCGACTGTGTCCTTCTTACGGTTTTAATCACGAAAACAGCAGTAGTAAGATCTGGCGAGTCCGTGAAACGGCTAAGCGACCCGTCGTAGTGACCTGTATGTTAGTGCGACACCCTGTACATATAGTTAGCGAGAGTTCAACTCACCGAGTTGAAGATTCGACGCGACGGCTATCTTGGTGGATTCCGGAGCGATGAAGACGGGCTCGTTGTCGTTCTGATCGAGCACGATGATCCTCGCAGTGACCGTAGAAGCTAATTGCTCTCCCGGTGGCGCCCGATCCGTCGCCTTCAGGATCAAAGTGTACTCGGCCCTCTCTTCCCTGTCGAGTGACTTGGCCAACGTCAGAGCGCCCGTCAAAAAGTCCACGGCGAACCTGCCCGTCGACGGAAACTCAGCCACGAGGCCGTATCTCAGCTCGCCATTCAGCCCGCTGTCCAGGTCGCTGGCTGTGAGGTTGTAGATGGTCGAGCCGACTATCTCTCTTTCGAACACGCGAACAGTTATCGGATCCTGCGGCCATCTAGGCGGATTGTCGTTCGCGTCCTCGATGATGATTTTCACGGAAACGGCGATGCTTTGGGGATTCCCGAGCGAGCTCGTGTCCAACGCACGGATCTCCAGGTAGTACTCGCTCACGCTCTCCCGGTCGAGGGAATGCGCGACCACCAGTTGACCTGAGCTCCGGTCTACGTCGAAAGCTGGAAACTCGCTGATCGGCGTCAGCGAGTCCAAGGTGAAGGCCACGCGACCCGCCGGACCCGCCCCCGCCACTGACCCCACCACGTGTCCGATGCTCGCATCCTCGCGCACCTAAATGTGCATGAAGTGTGTATATCGTCTATTCCGCGTTATCACACGCTTCATCTCACATATGTCGAAGTGTAATATGAAATCAGTATCAAGAGGTTTGCATCAGTTGACGAAGAAAACGCGGACATTTCTCCGTGGGATGCAGCCCGGGACTTTCGGAACTCATTACAGTAATATCGCGAATTAATTACGAGAGATTTCAATTTCCCACGGAGTTTCTTTCATTTCACTTGCGCACGAGGAAAAGCTTGATTGAATTCACCTGTCGATGAGCACACCAAACTCGTTTCGGCTGAAAGAAACGGAAGTTTCTAGTTAGAAGAACCGGATTTGGTTTAAAAAGAACTAGAAACGCCGTTCCCTCGAGCCAAAACGCGTTTGGTTTGTTCATCACCAGGTGAATTCAACCAAATTTTTTGTGTCCGTGTGAACATAACTTATTTTCTTCATTCGCGTAAGTCGATCCTGCGAGTTATTTGCAGGAAATGTGCTCGAATGCAGCAACAACACACCGTCCGTAGGGCATCGGCGCGATCACACACAAATGTTGTAAAACGTAACATGTCATAAATGAGCGATCGCCAAAGGGGTAAAGTGGAGCGCCGACGGTGTGGAAACGAATCGGCGCGTAAATGAAGTCCTACCGGGGTGGCGAGGTTAACGATACTCACGTTAAAGGTAAGACTGCTGCTGGTGAAGGTCGGCCGGTTGTCCGCGAGCGCCAAGACTTCGACGCGGAACACGCGGACGTTGTGTCGCGGCGGATGTCCGGCATCGGTCGCCTTTATGGACACCCGATACACGTTGCGCTCCTCGTGGTCGAGCACGGCCTTGGTCCTGATCATACCGGTGATCGGGTCGATGGTGAAGACGTTGTAGCCGTCCGAGTCTCGGTCTGGAGCGAAAGAGAGACTGCCGATCAAAGATCGCCGATCGGAAATCCCCGCAACGGGGGAGAATCGACGAAGCGAATTCACGCGCGGGCAATTACCGCGCGGAGGAAACAAATGTTGCTGGAACGGCAAATGTTTGTCAATATAATGAGGGCAAGAACAATTTTGTTTAAACATTAAAAACTTTGTTTGGACAGCGGAAGGATTTGTTAAGAGCGTTAATTGCTATTTGTTGGATATATGGACAATTAACACCCTTAAGAAATCTTTCTGTCCAAAGAAAATGTTGGTTCCGCTGTCATTATATCGGCAAACATTTGCCGTTCCAGCAAAATCTGTTCTCTCCATGCGTTGGGAAGCGCGGAGGCGCGAGACGGAAAAATCGCGCTCGATATCTGTGCCGTCGAGCATGCCGGCACGCAAGAACGTGTACGCGAAATAGCCGCCGCGAGACGCCGCGGAATGGAAAGCCCGACGTGAACGTGGAGGGAGGTACATCGCGAACCGCTCGACACTGTAATAGTGCTCGCGAACGAGCGATGTTGAGATTTAATCTCACGATCGAGATTTTCGCTGCCTCGCCGGCGTCTCTGCCACGCGATCGGGAAAATCCGATTCCGATCGTAACGCCGCTCCGAGCGAACCGAGGAGAGAGACGGCTCGCGTTTACGCTCGCCGCAGGCGGTGCGCCTACTTCCAGCGAATAACGCTCGGCAAAAAGGCGCACGGCCGCTTTTAAGACCGTGCATAATTGTTTCAGTAATTGCCGCCGGGCTATTAAAGCTCCTCAAAAAGCCCCTCGCTCTTTCACGAGGGTCGCGAGAGTCCTGGTGAAAAAAGCGCGTCTCGTCCCGTCTAATCCCCGGGGCGTAAGTAGTTTCTCGCGCTATTTCTCTATTATTCCCGAGTCTCAACAACTGCCGGCAGCCCTCCCTCGTAACGAAGCGCCGCGCCAAGATCATTGCCTGCGCTCGCGCGCAGCTAATTATAATTTATATATTTTCTTGCCGGGATATATATACTATCGTATCCGAGGCGCGGGTCGCTTCATTAGGCGAGCCTAACCCATTGGTCACGCGCACCAACCAACGACTAATCGGGACGCGAGCGTCTCCGGAGATTACGACGCGTCCTTCGCGAGCGGAAGGAATCGATGCTCGCCGTTGTTACGCGACCGCCGGGCGTTGAAAGCGTCGCTAGGAAGATTCCCTACCTTTCAGGATGCTGTAGGTCACCGAGGCGTTTTCACCGAGATCCGCGTCCACTGCCCTGATTCGGGTCACTTCCGTCCCGGGCGGCTGCTCCTCCCTCACGCTGACAATGTCCCCCTGGGGATCGATGATCACGGGCGAGTTGTCGTTGACGTCCAACACGGCGACCTTCATAGGCACCCGAGCGGACCTGGACGGTACTCCTTGATCCCGCACCTCCAGCACCAGCTCGTGCACCTTCCTCACCTCGCGATCGAGCGGCTCGCGCGTCGTGATCTCGCCTGGTGAAGTCATCGGCCGGGGGGAGGAGGAAAGAGAAACAATTAATTTTCATTGCGCTTCGACGCTCCCGAGCGCGCCGGCTATTAGCAATTCCCCGCGGCTCTCGGCCGCGAGTAGCGTCTATTAGCAGATGCCGGGGGGATGTATTTATGACCGCGCGACAAAAAGCGGGCCGTGCCCGCCAGTCCGTCTCGATATTAGAGAGGATTAAAGACTTCTACACGAGTGTCCGATGAATTTTACGCGCGCTCTCTCGGAGCTCTCGCGACCAATTGCGAAGGAAGCGGCGCGCGTACGCGCGCACTCTCGCGCGCATTCGGCCGCATAAAGTCGACTATGTACGACCAGCCACGACGTCTCGTGAATCGCGAACGGCTAGACCGACCTTATCAATTTCCCTCGTCGGAGAACAGTTAATTGGATAATCGTCGCTCGCGTACGCACGTAAGGGCGACCGTCCGTAAGAGCGCGCGCGGTCGCTCGTAATCCTCGGTCGCGCGCCTTCCTACCGCGGAGTTGCGTTTTTCGTTTCCGCTCTCCTCCTCGCATATAATAATTGTACCAGGGACGTACGTAGTCGCGCGTGTAACGAGCTCCGTCGTAATTACGTGTATCGCGCGCAGCGGAGTGGCTACGGCCGAGGCTGGGGACGACGATGAGAGGAAAGCGAAGACAGAGAGAGAGAGAGAGGGGAGAAAGCAGGCTTGGGTAAATTAATTTGAATTAAAAGTTAAATATCTATTATGCAAAACTATGTATATAAACTTAACTATATATATATATATATATAGCATCTTCGGTTTCTTTCCGAGTAAAAATTGAGAAAAGCGGTTTCTTTAACTTTTAACTTGACCAAGTTAATTATATAGGCTATTAACATTTAACTTAAAAGAGAAAAAGTTAATTCACCCAACCCTAAAGGAAAGAGAAAGAAAGAGAAAGAAGGAGCAAGGAGAGAACACGGCGAATAAGAAAATGAGGGAGTGAGACGAGAGAAGACAGGGCGAAAGCTCGCCGCGGCAGAAAAGAGGGAAAAGGTGGAGTCACACGCGAAGCGACCTGATCTCCCTCCTTCGTCGACCGGTCGGCACATTAATGGGTAATTAACCCTGGGTAGCTAGCCGAAGGAAGAGAGGGGTGAGAGAGCCGGCGGAACTATTCCAGGATCCGGAGAAGGATCGAGATAATAATTCGTACGATGGACCCGAGGCGACCTGTATCGGTGTTCGCGCGACAGGCCAGGCGGCGTGCCTCTACGAATTCTCGACGTACCTAGTCGGCGGAGCCGTCGACCAGTCCTGCCGGCGTTCACCAGCACGTGGTTACGGCCTGGCCTCGACGACGTCGTACTCCTCGTCGCCGACAAGACAAACGATCGACGAGGGACATGCAAACGCGCCGCGACGTGTAGCACGGCGCATCGAAGAATACCATCGCGCGGAACAATAAGAAGTATATCGTAGGGCGCGTGCTAATGCGTTTCTCGTGTTAGCCGTGGGACCGACCTCGCCATCATGCGCCCATAAGAACGGACTGTCTTTTTGTCTTCTCGCGTGCCTCTACCAATATTTGGAAATCCATCCGTCGTCGCGCGATCGGATCTCGCCGCAGCCTCCTAGGCGAGAGGAGGCCTGCGTGGCCGTCCCGGTGACGGACGGGAGACGCCGGTTTCTCGAAAATCAAACAGTCGTTCGGCGAACGGGAGGCCGCCGCGAGGGAACGCCAGGACAGGAATCCCAGCCGAGGGTTAGAGAGATCGGGAGCGCGCTGGAACCTGCTCGGCCGCTTTGCAACCGAGTCGCGGACTAGCCGAGCAACCTTATCTTTAATTTGATCGTCGATGCAGAACCGCGCACCAAATTATCGACGCATAGGAAAACTGTGGGAAACGTCACTTAGCATGTTTGCCCGCTGGAAAACATATAGCTGAATAACGCGGCATCTCCGGCCGGTGTTTTTGCAACGTGCGCTTGATTAGAATATAAATTGACTCTAATCGTCGTCCATCACGGCGAGAGAGGTGTTCCGGATACACGTAGCACGAGGGGACATTACGAGAGACGCGAGATTATCGGGCTGGAATCCCTCGAGTAAAAATCTGAGCGTCTTCGACTCTTTGATCAAAACTGGCGTCCGGTTTGTCATTGGAATGCCTTTCATTTACGAAGAGTGTCTGTAGTATGTCGAATTCAGGCACATTTTTTTTTTAATATGTACACGGAGAAAAATAATTTGTTGGCGCAGCAAATTTTATGCTGTCGCAGCGAATCCGTCAGCTATTGTGTGAATAGCAAAACGATTTGTTAAAAACACTAATTGCCATTTGCTGGATTATTTTGCTGGATTATTAAGGACAAATTAATAAATGCAGAAGAAACACTATTTTGTCCTAGCTGCAGATTAACTTGTCCTTAAAACAAATTCACTCAGTAGAATTTTTATAACCTAGGAAATAAAACCGTTTCTGCTGTAATTACGAGTAATTTGCTAATTTGGTTATGCCAACTAAATTTTATTGCTGCCGCAATATGCAGTAGCAACGATTCGCTACAATCTCAAAATTCTTCTCCGTGTGTACGTGTTATTTATCTTATCATATGTAATACCATTTATAAAAATAGATTTTTCGATTTCTTAAAATTAATTTTTTCATTATTTCACTATTATTTATCCCCCATCTTGGAATAATATTTAATTACAAATAGAATCCATTTATTTGACAATCTTGCAGTTCCGCCACTTTTGATCAAATAAGAAACAGGACCAATCAGTAAAAAGTTGGCGATAAGCCAACTCTTATTTGAGGGACTAAATCACGGTGCACGGAGAAAAATGTTTTTCTGGCGCAACCAATTGCTTGCTATAATGACAGAAAAGAGATTTGTTACGCGAAGAAAATAATTTTGTAGCAACACGTCATTGCGACAGCAATAAAATTAAATTGGCGTAACCAAATTATTTCGCTGTCCGTGTACCCAGCGAAAGCAATGGTACTCTTGACAGATATCTTTTCGCAATCCGAACAAATCTCTCTGCCGCCAGCAAAACAGTAATTAACAATTTGCTGTGTCAACAAAAAACATTTTCCGAACGTCGCACGTCCTCTCTCACTGATCTAACGGAGCAGCCGTTTCCCGCACGGTGGAGGCGTGCGCTACCGCGTGCCTGAAATAACCGCATCCGCGCTCGCCGAGAAGAGCCACGTGGCCGCGGATGGCACGTGCTAACGGCCGTCCCGATCGATAGGTGAGAGCGCGCCGGACGGCTGGTGGGTCAGGGGAATTCCTCGGGTCGCGATAATCGGCCATATCGCGCGCGCATATCGTAACGAATTGAAATGTATGAGGCGTGCGCGGATTCCACGCACGGACGTGGGCCGCGAAGGCGCCACGTCGCGTCGCCGAGACAGCCGGGGAAGACGAAGAAGTGGTGGCGGTGGAAATGCGCGACTTTGACATTCTCCTCTGCGGAACAACGCCGGGGCGCGGACACGTCGTCTTTGTCGAGGCGTCGGTCGTCGGCGTTTAGCGGCCGTAATCGCATCCGGTATCGTATCGGGGCGCGGCCCTGATACATCCCGGAGAAGGGATGGAGGAGGAGGATGAGGAGGGGGGAGGACCTCCTGACAATCGAACGTTCCTGTACTTTTTTCATCGCGTTTCATCGGACAAAGGTGCACTTCCATAAATCACGACGGGGCGATCTCTCAACTTTGTAAACCGCACGCGAGACCCCCCTTAATTGGATGAATGGAGAAAAGGGCGCCATTAAGCGGGCAACGGGCAACCTACGCGGCGGAAAGAGCGGAGAGCGGACCGCTCGAGGGTTTTCTCAATGGGAGATCGCGGTTAGAGCCGATCGAAGGACAATGGCCGAGCGAAATTTCAACTCACTCCCGCCGCCGGTCCGTTGACCGGACAATGTGCAGTCGCACTGTGTGCTGCGGGATTAATATAGAAGTACTCGTACGACAAGACAGCTGATACTTCCGGCAGCGCGATCGCCCCC